CTGAGCACCAGAGAAGGCTGCAGGCTCAAGTCTTGCACACAATGGGCGAAGAGGCCAGATTTTGATGCCCAAGTGCAGTAGAAGACAGGTGGGTGCACCAGCTTCAGAAGAGAGAAAACAAGGCGCTTTCTGCTTTTTTTTCTACCCAGGTCTTTAGTCCATTGCACAGTTTTCCTTTCTCCAGCCACTGATTGAGACGCCAATTTTCTCCAGAAATATCCTCACAGACACAACCAAAAAAGTTTTAACAGTAATCTGGGTGTCCTTTCATGGACCCATGCTGATACCTAAAGTAAAACATTACAAGTGCATAGGGCCAAGACTAGAAGGTGTACAGATGTGTGGCCTCTGGTCACTGACTTCCGGTGTTATAGGTAGTGTCATCTCTTCTTTTGTCACCGTATGTGAAAGTACTTAGCCAAGTCTTTGATACTTAGCTCTTTTATTAACCTGGATCACCTTCTGATTGTGTTGCCAACTTTTAGTCTGCAGCTCCTCCCAGAAGTTAGGCTGATACCTCTGATCTCGTTTCTCTGGAGTTGGAAATGATACAGCACAGTCCAAACTTCCCATCATACATCAGGTCGTAAGACTGGTCCATGGCCTTAGACGCTAGAGATGATACCCCCATCCAGCAAAACGTTACAAGAGCATGGGATGCCATCCTAGCAGACAGGGCAAAGGTCAAACTTGAGTAATGTTAATTCTTCACTGAAAACCATCTCTAGTATTTGTTCACATTTGTATCTGTTTTGAGTAAAAAATGCATGTCTGTGGCAAAATATGCCGAAAGTATATTCACTTGTACACATATTTTTCTCTTGCATACATAAAAGACTGTTTTTACTTCTTCAGGGATAATTCGGGGATAATTAAGTCGTTGGCGAAGCCCTCCCATCCCTATTTCCAACACACATATGCCAACTAATGATTTATAGATTCCACATCAATGGGTTTTTCCTGAAAAGTAAAATATGTTGTCAATGAATACGGGGTAAGAATTGTCTTTAGTGAAATTCTGTATCATTTCTAATGTTTTTTTATTCTTTTGAAAAGAAAAAAATGTTCTGCTTTGGAGTAGTAAAAATAAAATATCACATCAAACTCAGGAAAGAATAAATAAAATAAAAAGAACTGATCTGCTATATGGCCAGTGAATAATGCTTTTTTCTTTCGCTGATGCTGGGGATTGAACCCAGGATCCTGTGCATGCTAGGCAAGTGCTCAAGTGCTGAGCTATATCGCCTGCTCTTTCCATTTAACTCTAAGACGAAATCTCACTAAGTTATCTAAATTGGACCCAAACTTGTATCCTCCTGCTTCAGCCTCCTGAGTAGCTACGATTATAGACATGGGTCACCACAGCCTAGTTGCTTGCTATTCTATTTTAGAAAGAACTTTTCTGAGAGTTTGTCATTATATTTAATATTGAAACAATGTTTTCAAAATTTTCAATGAGTTTTATACATTTTTTTATTAACACTGTGGCTGGAGAATGGACATACAGCCCTGTGCACATACCAAACTTTGGTACTGCGTTACATTTCCAGCCCTTTTAATTTACTTAGTTTTTGACTTAGGATCTCACTAATTTAGATGGGCTAGCCTTTAACTTAATGGTAAAATCCTCCCACTTCATCTCTTGGGTACCAAAAGGGTACCACCATTCCATCCTGTATTGGTTTTAAAGAATGCACCTCTGGATAATGCTTTTATAATTTTGTATTTGGGTATCTTGCATGACAAATTATAAAATAGAATACATTCTCTAACAATCAGGAAAATAGTAATTCCCTAACTAAATACATTTACCAGAGAAATTAGTGTGTGCTTTAAAAATAACATAAAAACATTGATAGCGACATAAAAGTAGTAGACATATTATTCACTAGTGGTGAATGGATTACAGAACAAAAATAAACTTTAGATAGTCATCTTTACCCTTTTTCTTTTCGGGGTTGTCTGGTAAATCACACTCACAGAACCTCTTGCACAAATGTAATCATTTGTTCAAATTCCACCATTTACATTATGGCATCTTTATGAAATGTATTTGTTACTAATCATTTTTAATAAGTCAATATAGTGAGTAAGAAAGAGATCAACTAGAGTGAAAACTTAATGAGCACTGAAGAATGTTAGTGATGGTGAACACAACTTCGTGGTGATGGGAAGCACAAGTCTCACTGTGTGTGTACACAGAATGACACTGTTAATGGGATGTTTATGGAAAACGCTTCACATCAAAGAGTTGAAAAATGTGAATTCTATGTGTAAAGTTTGGAAAACATATGTGAATTATGTGAGATAAAATTTTTATACATTTTTATTCTCTACAATACCACCAATTAATTGAAGATTCCAGAGAATCATCATTCTTTTAAAAGCAGTTATCTAGTCCAGAGCTAGGATTTAATCAAATGTTTTTTTCTAATGTATTTAGGACATGGTCTACAGGGTCTCGCTACATCAGACTCATAATGATTCTCCTGTTTTCTGCCTCCCATACCCTGGGACTACAGGCACGTGCGCCGCCATGCCCAGTCTCAATCACCATTTAGCCCCAGGGGTGGACCAGCAGGCCCAGGGATCAAACCCCGGCCTCCGCACTCTGCCTGCGCTTTAGTACATTGAGCTATCTGGCCAGCCCCTAAACTTTTATATAAATATCAAAATAATTAAAATAGTAAGAAGGGCATCAGTAAGGAATCACAAAGAAGCCCTTGATAATAAAATCCTCTTTATTAAACAGGAAAAGTTATACAAATTAAACAAAGTGAGAATATTATCAGAATCTAAAAGAAATCAACTTCTTTGTGCGTTCAGTACCCTCTGTCAAAAAATGCCTAGTACATATTAAGTGTTCATTAAACATTTCCCAGGGCCGGGGAGATGGCTCAGCGGAATAAGCGCTTCCCTGGCAAGCGCAAGGGCCTGAGTTCAATCCTTGGTTCCACCAAAACCACAAAAAATAAAAATAAAATAAACATTTCCCAACTTGAATGTTTAGGAGAAAACTGATGTATTTTTTTTTTTTCTTAATCCTGAACTCTTGCTGTAGCATACAGATGCTCTTAAAATTGTGGTCTATACTGTAATTTAATTCCCAGAAGTCTAATGATGGCCAGTAACTTTATTATTGTTCTACTGGCAGTTTCAGGGTTGAAGTCCTCACATACTTGGATTTTGTTACCTTGTTTCTGTAATCTAAAATCTGAACTGTTTTAATCAGTGCATCAAGCACAGCAAAACTTTCCTTTCGCTACACAAATGTTAACATTAAAACTTCCTGGAACAATCTCCACTGAGTTTAGGAGCAGTAGCCATCTGTGTCCAAGCTACCTACAGATTAAATCTATACTGTATTTCCCACTTGTCCCAAATGCCTTTTTGCTTGTCTTGCGGTCTGGGATCTGAGCCCACAGCTTCATGATTGCTAAGCACACGTACTGCCGCTCAGTTACACCCCCAGCCACCCGTGTCACCCTATAATATTTGCCAACTTCCTTCTGGTCTCTTTGAAGGAATTATATTTACTTTTTGATTTTTCTCCTTCAATTTACAATGGGGTTATAAATCCATCATAAATTGAATATACCATAAATAAAAATAACACTTAATATACCTTTATTACTTAATAGCATTTCAAACCTAGCTTGTCATCATGCTCAGAATACTTTCACGGGCTTACACTTGGGCAAGATGATTTAACACAGAGCCTTTTTTTTTAATGTATTTTGTACAGGGTCTCACTGTGCAGCTCGGACATGTAGCAATCCTCCTGTTCTGCCTCCCTTGCACGGTGATTAGAGGCGTGCGACACCAAGCTGTCTCAGTTGCGGGCTCAGCTTGCCCTGCGGATGGGCTGGTGTGGCACGTGGTGCCGGGGATTGAACCCCATCCCTGCGCTTGCTTAAGGAGGCACTTAGTCTGCTGAGATTATCTCACCTGCCCCACAAAGCCATATCTATTGCTTCAAAGAATCATAAAACTGAATTCTATATCAAACTACCATAAAGTGGGCATCACATGCACTGGTAGTCTTTAATTTGGCTGTGAAACTTCTTGATTAAAACTTGGAAAATATATTATGCACATACACATGGAAAAAATTTTAACAAAATGAGTTTCAGAATTTCTAATAACTGAAAATATGCTAAAGTTCATATTTTTATAGATAAAATACAGAATATTTTCATATTGTGCAGAAACATACACACTACCCACAGTATACTTAAAATGTATTATGCAAATGGTTCAAAGAGTGCAAAGTGTTTCTCAATGACCACTGTCTATGAGGAAGTAAAATGAGAAAATAACTTTCTAAGTTCCTTTAAAAGTAAATTCCTTTTAAAGCGAAACTCAGTTTCTTTTTGTGTGTGTGCAGGGTCTCACTGCACAGCTCAGACTTACAGTGATCCTCCTGCTTTCAGCTTCCCTAGTGCTGGGACTACAGGCATGTGCTACCATGCCCAGACTCCTCGCTTGCTCAGCACACAGGGCTGCTAATGGTGCTCAAAACTCAATTTCTTCTTTTCTGTGGCCCCCCGGGGGGGGGGGGGCTGGCACAGCATATGGTGTCCAGAATCAAACAGGGGTCCTTGCACTTGCCTAAGCTTACCTAAACACGCCCTTTAGTCCACTGAGTTATCCCGCTGGCCCCACAAAATTAAATTTCCATGAAGGTGTACAATCCCAACCAACACCAGGCAAAATCATAGATCTCAAAAAAGCATCTAATCTGGATGGATCATTTGGAAAAATTAAGGGAAAGTTTAAATTATTTTAAAATAAGATACTAGTCATTAAGATTGGAAACAAAATACAAGAACATCAGCTTCATAATTTTACAACAAAGGGGGCTGGGGTCTAAGCACCTGCCTGGCAAGTGCAAGGACTCATGTTCAATTCCCAGTACCTCATGCCATACAGGCCCAGTACTGAGTAGCCACCAAAACCAGGTGTGGTGGTACACACCTGTAATCCCAGCACTGCAGAGGTCGAGACAGGAGGATCACTATAAGTCTGAACTGTGTACAGACCCTGTACCAAATAAATAAAAGATTTAAAAAGTCAGAGTTGTGATCTTCAGAACAAAACTATGTAAAGTTAGCACACTATCTATCTTTGGAGCCTCAGTTTCATTTTTATAAAAACAGTAATACCTTGGTAATTCTATCATTTTAGTTATATCAGATGTTGATAATCTACCAGTATTAGCTGTATTAAGAGTCCATTTAATCTAGAAAACAAATTTGGCTTTGCTCAATGAACATTTATTGAGCACCTAACACACATGGTACACACTGTCATTAATAGATTAACAAAGGTCTGGGAATATATAAGGCTCTGAATAAACAAAATTAATATTAATTTCTCATTCCTATCTTTAATATCTATGGAATACTTATCTTTGTTTTCAGCTTAAAAAGTATTTCTAATTTTATCCTTTACTCACAATGTTTCCTTTCCAATAGTCGTCATAAAACTGAGATTTCAAATCCAGCAAAGTTATATACCTTTAATCTGATTATTTACACTATAAAATTATGATAGCTATTTTAAATGTTATTTTCTTTATATATAATTGTATTTCACTAACAGTGTAACTAGAAGCAGTAAAATTTGTTTTTTGTTAAATTTTTAAAATTTTAATAAGACAATGGAAATTAAATCTAACAATACACTGCTCTTACAGAAAAAAGGCATTTCCTTCATTAAGTTATTTTCAGACATACCAATTTGTATTCCTTGTAAGAGGAATCTCATTAAATACACAAAAAAGGTGAGTGTTTTTCTCCTGCTTCCAATATTCGTACCAGTCTTCTCAGGGGATCATGACATAGTTAAATCTTAACATATACATCATTGCACTTTCCAGTAAAATTTTATTCCCAAATGGCACTTTTATAAATTAAAATTCCTTAATTAAATCCAGGATCAACAACTAGTAACTGGGTTATTAGTAATTTAAAATTTAAAGCATCTGTTATTAAGCTGGCAACCCAAGTTTGTAACTCAGCCCTAGTAACATAAATTAGATAATTCCTGATAGGATTACAATGTGAAGTGCAGGTATACACATGTGTATGTAAACCCATGTTCTAAGTTCACAGGGGTTTTTTAGGAGGACACGGTCATGTCTGACAAGATTAATCAAGAACAACAATAATAATTCACTTAGAATTTAGAAACAGGGATCCCTTTAAAATTTCAACAGCATATTTCATTTATGTTGTAGCAGATATTGGTTGTTAGCTTAAGCTGCTAGCTTAAAGCTAGGTAAGAAGGTCTGTTTTAAGAATAACATGCATCATCACCCCAAATAATATAAATATGTTGTTATCAGAGGTATTTAGCTTGGACAAGAGCTGTAACTTTGAGAAATTTTCTATAAATATTCAATGAGGCAGTAAATTGTTCTTCCCTTGCTAAATTATTGGATTTTTGCGTGTCACCTGGGTTTTCTAAAAGAAATACATCTGTGTTTACATTAAATATCTCTGCAACACTTAAGTTATTAAAAAAGAACAGAGGAGTGAAATCCAACGTCTGGATTGAGATAACAGTCAGAGTAACTTAAGGAAGCTCCGAACACAATCCCTCCCCACAAGGGAAGCACAGGCAGTGGTGGAATAGCACAATGAAAGTATTAGTTTCTAAGGCACACAGTTAACTACAACATCTAAAGTGGGATTTACTGATGAATTGCAGTAAGTTCTCAGAACATTTACTACAACCCAGATAGAAATAATCACGTAATATGTAAGTGTGTAGTGGAGAAAGATATTTCAACTAAAAATACATCAATCCTCACATATGAAATCACTTAGAAATTACTGATGTATTTGAAAGAATTCTGTTTAAAGATTTTTTTTGGATGATACATAGTGTCAGTGGTTCGGAAGGTTAGGTGGTTCTCCTTTGTTTATTAATGCCTCGTTTCCACTACATAAAGGCTGGTCTCCAGTCCCACTGTCCAATGCCTGCTTTACATTAAGTCTTACTTCAGTATTACCACACAAAGTGACTACATTGTAAAAGGCCTCCAGATCACTCTGTTCAAATGTCAGAGTAGGTTTCAGTGCTGTTCCAGGAGCAAGGGAACTTTCTCCAATGATTCTCAGGTTGATAAATTTGATTTTCCAAGTATTTTCCACAAAAGGACAGCAGATAAGTCCAAAGATTTGTTCAAAAATGCCCAAACAAGTGTTCCCCCGGTGGACAGTCCCTGCAACTCCAATCATAACTAATCCATGGGGAGAAGAAGCACATTTTAATCCATGGGAATCTAAATTAGGGCTGAGAAAAAGAAATTCTTCTTTCACTAGTGACAGCAAGCGAAGGCTCACAATTTCAGCTCCATGGTAGTCTATTACATTCTGTTCTGATGTGCTGTAATAAAGCCTAAGCTTGACGTCGTGCCAGAAGTGCTGGGGCCCCCACTCATCTTGAGGTGGTCCCAGTAAAGGATTCTGAGAATTTAGAAGTTCAAAGAACCAGTGACAAAATTCTTTTCCTAGGCGACGAAAATCAACTTTTTCATCTTCTTTTACCTGCTGATTAAAATAAAAAACAAAGCTAAGATGTAACTCTCACATTTTTTTGTAAATCTAGCTTGTTTCAGAGCTAAGTTTTAGTATAATGATTACAGCAAAGAGAAATAAATATGTGACCTCACTGAATACATCACATCTATATAAATTGCTTTCAAAAAAGAAGTCGTTTTAGAATTTGCTAGGTCAAAAAGTTTAAAACTTAGTTAATAAGGCCATAGCTGGGTACAGCAGTACATCCTCATTATAGCAATTATGGAAGCTGAGGCAGGACTGCTTGACCCCAGGAGCTCAAGGTTAGTCTGGGCAATACAAAGAACCTGTCTCTCCAAAAATAAATAAGAAGTAGAAGAGTAATGAAAGCACTGTACATACAATACCTATGAAGTCTTTGATGAAATGAACAAATCATTTCAAACAAAGCCCTTTAAAATATCAGCATTAACAATGGTAAGTAAAATACATAAGCATTTTCTCTTGATTTTGACCCAGTCTGTCCATCACAACCTTAAAAATGTGTGTTTCAAATGGATGTACTCTGGTGTAAGTTATATTCCAATAGTTATGATAAACATTTCTACCATCTTTAAACATATACTCTGAACTCTCTTCACAATAAATACTATGACACAGATATTACTGCTATAATTCTAGTTTTGGTGTTGGGGGCTTTGTTTTATCTCATAACCTTACATTCCTTATGATCATTTTATAGATGAAGAAAATAAAGCTCAGAAAGATCAAACTATGTGCCTAATCTCACCCACTTTGTATACCACTATCCTAAAACTGAAATAACATTTGTATCATTCTAAAGCTCATTCTCTTCTCCACACAGTAAAAAAGTACTTAGATCCTTTACTAATGTGAAAACAATTGTTTTCAGTTGGTTAACATTTAAATTCTCACTTGATATCTAAAATGCACAAAAAAATACTAACAGCTAATGTAGGCTGAAGAAAATTGCTACAGCATTTTTTCTAGCTAAATACTTCAGGTTCTCTCAAGAAATTTTTGCATTAGAAGCAATGAAATTTTAAAAATGTAAAAAGTTTACAATAGATCTTTCTTTTCCTTTTTTAAATTATGTTTGCAATAAATAATAACTGCCTTCATCATAGGAAATTTGTACACATACATGCATATTTAATCCCTATTGTGTTCCTTTTTCCTTCCATTTCTTCTCTAACTTTCCATCTCTCTACATTCTGAGACGACCTTCTCATCTATAGTCTTTTGAAATAGAAAAAAAATTAAGAACCAGGGTCTAAATTAAAATGAAGTTAATCTTAAATTTGTTTTCAAAAAGTTCAATAGTTATCATTTGATAAGGGAAGAAAATATTTTTCCTTCATATATCAATACATCATTAAATATCAAAAATATTTTTTTCTCTAAGTTACTTTACTGGTCGTTCCTCCTTTAGGATGCTGTTATGGTTTGTGTCTAGGTGTCACCCCAAAGCCTCGGTAAGTCATGGGATGGTTTCTGGAGTTTGTAATTGATTACAGTGGGTGGGATGCTACACTTAACCTGGGACAAGTAATTTGCATTACAGTGTAAGAGAAGAGAGAGGTTAGACTGCTGCCTGAGCTGCAACCACTCCCTCCCTTTGCTCTAGCTTGTTGCCACCACCATGAAAGGTTGCTCTCTGCCATGTGCCACTTTGGAGCCAGCAGAGTATGGTCTGAAGCCTCCAGTAACCTTTCCTTCCCTAATTTTGAGTGTTGGGTATTTGTCCCATCAATAAGAGAAGAGTGACTAAGACAAATGCAAAAGTTATGGGGTAGTGATAAGATACAGATAAATTGTAAAATGTAAGTATTATTAACTATCTTCCCCAGATCTAGGATTATCTATGGGTCTGTAGACATAACAAGATTCAGAATGTAACTGTACGATGTTTACCTGTTGAAAGAACTGGGCAGCCTCTTTCTTTATAACTGGCTCTGATGTTTCAGTCAACTGGCGCTTTGCTAACTCTTCGCAGTATTCTTTTGCACGTTGAATAAGACTATGTTTTTCAATAGTAGGAGAAATAACAAGCCCCTGGTTTGTCAAGTACTTAAATATCACTTCTCGGTGGACTTTTTTACGCCTCAGAAGTTCTTCTACACTTTGACTGTACAGTAATATTGCCTGAATAGCATCTAGAACAAAATTACAATGATTAATAAAAAATCACGTGGCACTTACAAATTTGCGAAATGTCAGCAGAAATTCTACCACAAAGTCAACTCTCATCATGGTATCTGCTTTTGCAAACAGGATTATTACTATTTTTAAAAACAACAAGTGGATTGTAGGGTTTTCAATTTCATGACTTAAACATCCTCAGCTAAAAAACTTCCACTTCCTTTCTTTCTATAAATGACTGCAAAATTCTAGCACAGTGCCAGCCCCGCTCCCGGGGCACACTGAGACAGCAATTGAGACTGGGCATGGTGGTGCGCACCTGTAATCCCAGCTCTTGGGAGGCTGTAAACAGGTGGATCACTATGAGTCCAATCTAGTAGTGAGACCCTGAACACCCTGTAGACCCTTCTCTAAAATACAAAGAAATAAAAATATTCTAGCACTTTATTTTATGACAGAGTCTCACTATGCAGTTCAGGCTGGCTTTGTACTCACTTTTATAGCCCCAGACTAGTCTCAAATTCAAGAGATTCTCCTGGTTCAACCTTCTGAGTGCTGGAATTATAGGAATGGGCCACCAGATCCTGTTCTGGAGCCACATGGTGAGTGCCTGCGTCTGCGGCCAAGACAGTACACCTAGGTATCTGAGGCCAGGACTGCACCAAATGTGGGGCCAGGAATTGAACTTGGGTCCTTGTGCTTGCCAGGAATGTGCTTATACCTCTAAGCTACCTCTCTGGCCTCTCTAGCACAATTTTTTGAAGAAGGGTTTTAATAACACACCAATTCCTGAGAGGGCGATTGAGACTGGGCTGTTGGCACCCGCCTATAATCCCAGCATTTGGGAAGCTGTAAACAGGAGAATCACTATGAGTCTGATCTAGTAGTGAGACCCTTAATACCCTGTAGACCTTTCCCTAAAATACAGGAAAAAAAAATTTAAAAAAAAAAAAATCATAAAGCCAGGCAAGGTGATGCATGCCTAAGATCCCAGCACTTGACAGGCTGAAGTGAAAGGATCACAAATTGGAGGCCATCTTGGGCCATAGCCCAAGTAAGTTGAAGGCCAACCTAAACTACGAAGTGAGAGACCCTGTTTCACTTCTATATGTGTAAGGTGCACAGAATGACAGTAAAATGCACTCCAACATAATACCTCCTAAAGCAAATACTTACTAGTATCTTTAACACCCCATTTTGCATCTCCCTACTGCTATTTTACCTTCTCACTCATCTTAGAGTAGCTATTCTCCATATTACTTAATATTTCCTGCTTTTCTTTAAAAGCTCATAGCATAAATAACTGCTTTTAAATAACATACTTGGTATAACATTTTAAAATGCTCTATGAAGTCAACACATTACTATGTGTAGACTTTTGGAATCAGCTTTTCACTGAGTGCTGTTTTTGATATTACTCTGTCTCAATAACTAGCTCTAGTTAATCCCTTTTCACTGTTGGGAAACAGCAAGTCATACTTGCAGACTTGTACAGCACCTCTCCTCTTAGTATCACTGCTACAAGATCCTCATACAAGTCTGCCAGTATACAGAAGGGTGTGGGCCTGAGCAGTGCTGGGGCAGGCATCCAAAACGGGCCGCTGGGGCCTACCCACTCCATCGCACTGGGATTCAAAGACACCTTTAAGTCTGATAAGCCTGAGTCCAGAGCAGTGGCAGTGAACCGTTGAGACAGGGGCACCAATGGTCTAGAGTAAGCATCTAAGATTTCATTTCAGATGTCAAATTTGTTTTCCAACAGAACAGTTGTAATTTTTTCTTTCCCCCATTAGCTGACAGAGTTGCTTCACCTAATCACCAACTGGTAGGGGCTGGGGAGATGGCTCAGTAGGATAAGGGCTTCCCTGGCAAGCGCAAGGACCTGAGTTTGATCCCCGGTTCCGAGAGGAAAAAAAAAAAAAAAAACTGGTGAAGTTTTTTTAAAAAAATGCTTTGTCAATTTGATACATTGAGGACGGATGAAATAGTTTAGTGGATTAAAGTGCCTGCAGAGGTTGATGCAGGAGTTCAAGATCCCCGGCATGCTGACAGGGTGATTGAGACTGGGCATGGTGGCACACCCCTGTAATCCCAGCACTTGAGAGGCTGTAAACAGGAGAATCACTACAAGCCCGATCTAAACTGTGAGACCCTGTAGACCCTGTCCTAAAATACAAAAAAGAAAAAAAAAATTGACACACAGAAGACACCTTAAGTTTGGGTTTTGTTTTCTATGAAGGTCATGTTTTAATTTAAAAAAAAAACAATAAATAAATAAATATTTTATTTATTGGTACAGGGTCTCACTATGCTGCCCGGACTCATAGTGATCCTCCTGTCTCAGCCTCGCCAGCACTGGGATTACTGGCTGGCCACGCAGGGTTCCCCAGCCGGTATGGCATGCAGTACTGGGGATAGAACCCAGGTCCTTGACCTTGCTAGGCAGGTGCTTAGACAGCCGAGCTATCTCCCCAGGCCTATGTATCTTTTTATATGCTTTTTTCCCCCAAACTGTATCTTCAAATTATTTAAATAATTTTGTAATAAGCTTTATTTGCTTTTAGATTCACTGCCAATTATCTCCAGCATTTTTACCTATTGCAATTGTAAATTCACACGATAACTGCAAGAAGGTGATTAACATGTACAATTTATAAAAGCTGCGGAACTATATTAGTCCAAAATCTTTTCGGTCTAAAGTTTTAGGAATGTCTCTTTTTAATGTTCACTGTTCAAACATACAAATGACTGATTTTCTTAAATGTCCAAAGGTGCATCCCGCTCGGACACTCTTGAAATCGACTCTAACGTGTAGCTGATTCTTTATTTATTTATTTATTTATTTGCGGAACCAGGGATTGAACTCAAGCCCTTGAGCTTGCCAGGGAAGCGCTTATTCCACTGAGCCATCTCTCCGTCCCCGTGTAGCTGATTCTGAAAGCAACCTTGTACATAAAATCGTCAGGGACTCTTTCGGCTTCAGGGAGTCCTCAATTCAAGCCCTCTGCCCTTTCACCTCAGCAGGCGTCCGCCAGGGCGCCGGACCGCAGGCGCGCGGTCCCCGCCGACCGGAACTGACCCCGAGTCCAGCGCCCCGGCCACCGGGGTCGGCGTCCCCGCGCACCCGCCCTAACAAGGGCAGCCGAGCGCCGGGACGCCGCGCCCCCTTCCGCCTGCGTGCTGCGGGAGCGGACGGGCGACGAGCCCCGCAGCCCCCCGGCCGGCCCAGGGCGGCGGCGGCCCGTACCTTGGCGGTCCGCAGGCAGCACCAGGCGGCTGGTGACGGTGTCGCACAGGGCCGTGATCTCGCCGTCGTCCAGCAGGCCGAGCAGGTCGCGACAGCATTCCGTCTCTGACGGACTGAGCCCCGGCATCGCGACCCCCGGGGAAGGGGGGAGGAGCCCGCGCCAACGAAGTTGCCGGGGCCGCAGGGCCCGCGCCCAGAAACGGACGCCCAAGTGCGGCCCGGCGTTCGGCAGCGGCCGGGCGTTCTAGGCGCAGGAGCGGAAGGGCCCGCGGGCCGGAGGACAGGCCGTGCGCCGGCGTGAGGCTCCGGGCTGTCTCGGACAACAGTTCTGCGGACCTCACTGAGAAGAGGGCCCGCCTTCCCCGGAAGGCCCGTTAGACCGAGAGCCCCCGAGCCGCCGGCAGCCCCGCCGCCTCCTCACGACGTCCCGGCGCGGCGCGCCCGCAGGTGCGTGGAGGCGGGAGGCGGCCGGCGCA